CTTATTTGTAACTCTTAAGAGTGGAGTAAAATGTATAATAAAAACCATAACGAATGACTGAAAATTCTCTCATGGTTTAGAAGGATCAGTTAATTTGCATCTGAGCTCACTCAGCAGATATTAGGGTGATTATCACTTTTGTGGCAGCCTTTTAAATGCTAATATAAAGGGAGATGATAAAGAGAAGTCAGAAAGTGATAAAGTTTATATGGAGTTACATTGGCTCCTGCTGCTCTTCATGAATTCTTAACTGACTTTAGGCTATCTATGTACCTGCCGATGACTTGACTGACCCTGCTCCTGCCACCACCTTTGCCCACTTGGATGCTACTACTGTGTTGTCCCGTGCTATCGCTGAGTTGGGTATCTATCCAGCTGTGGATCCTCTAGATTCCACCTCTCGCATCATGGATCCCAACATTGTTGGCAGTGAGCACTATGATGTTGCTCGTGGGGTGCAAAAAATCCTGCAGGTGAGTGTGTTAACTATGTGGAATTCGTGGCTCTAAAGTCCTGATGAGCGAAGCAAATTTATTGTATGTTAGGACCAGGGCTTTCCTAGTGACTTGTGATTTACTTTGGAGCAAGGAAAGTTGAGACCAGCAGTTGCTAGTGAGTGTTGATGAAGTCTCTAGTACTTAGGCTTTGGAATCTTTTTTTTTTTTTTTTTTTAATGGTGCCAGACTGGGTATAGAGATACTAATCTTGTCAGAGAGTCTTCATGACCCTAGTCATGTAACTTTCCCTTTAGCTTTTTCAACTCAGGTTTCTGTCCAGATTAAAGGAATAGGAACATTTACTCAGACCTCTTTTTTTTTTGTTGCTTTCTCCTTTAGGATTACAAATCCCTCCAGGACATCATTGCCATCCTGGGTATGGATGAACTTTCTGAGGAGGACAAGTTAACTGTGTCCCGTGCACGGAAAATACAGCGTTTCTTATCTCAGCCGTTCCAAGTTGCTGAGGTCTTCACAGGACATATGGGGAAGCTGGTACCTCTAAAGGAGACCATCAAAGGATTCCAACAAATTTTGGCAGGTAAGATTTTGAGTACAAGCTGAATAAAAAATTAAAAAACTGAAATCTTGACTCTTGCCTGATGATATTCCCATTACAGCTGTCAAGCAAATATAATTTATAAGTAGCTATTTTTCTACCAGTTTTGTTTGAAAATACATTTCACTTTCAAGAATGTAATTTGTATTACTTGATTCTCTTAACTCCCTTCAATCTATATAATCCAACACTTACTGTTTTCGGTGGGAGCTATTTACTCTTAAGTGAATTTTTTTTAAAAGAGTTTTTTTGTTATAAGGCATGTGCACTCACCTAAGAGAAAGAAAGTGAGAAATCATCCCTGGGGGGGCGGATTTCCACTCTGCAGTCTGTTCTCATCCATTCTTCTCTTGAGATTTTGTGCACACACACGCCTGGCATGAGTTTTAAGCTGCTGGATGTAGGACTTGATGTTAGTGGACTAAGTGGGAGTCCAGTGATGTAACCATTACACCACCTGCTGGTTACCTCTAAGTGAATTATAAATGAAGTAACTGGGGCACAGAGAAGTTTAAAATAAACTGTCCTAACATATGATAGCCAAAGTAGAGAAGAAGAATTTGAATTTAGGGGCCAGCAGGTGGCTTGGTGATTAAAGCATTGGATCCCGTATGGCCAGCTCTGTGGTTTGAGTCCCATACCCAGCTGCCTGAAGAACATACGAGGCACTTGTGCTTGTGTGCCCAAAATCCAGAGAAGAGAATGAAGGAGAAAGGATTGTGGTGTGGCGATCTAGCCTGGAGGGGGTTGATTGATTTCTCACTTTCTCTCTGGTGAGTACTCACATCATATGGCAAAAATCTTTTAAAAAATTTTTTTCGAACTCAGTTTCTGTGTCTTCTGACCATGTATTCTTAATCCACAGTTACATATTTTCTTAAAATTTGATTTGTTGAGGGAAGCTTAAGAAAAGTTTTTTCAATTATTTTCACTTTATTTAATTTGACCAGGGAGTAAGTGAGAAAGCAAGCCACCAGGTTTGATACTCAGACTGTGGTTGGTCATGTGGGACCAGCACCCTTAACCACCATGCCACGTGCTGGCCCCTGAGAAAAAGTTTTTTAATGACATGGATTCATCATATTCTGACTGGTAGCCTCAAGTCATGAGGTATGTGTACCCTACAAAACTTATGAGCCTTTCACTTACTAGTTGGATTTTTTTCCCATATAGGTGAATATGACCATCTTCCAGAACAGGCCTTCTATATGGTGGGACCCATTGAAGAAGCTGTGGCCAAGGCTGATAAGCTGGCTGAAGAGCATTCGTCATGAGATGTCCTTTTGGCATATTAAGCACTCATCTTTGCTGTTCCTCTCCTTCCCCCAATCCAAAAAGCCAGTTTTTCGTGTAGGCCACACAAGAGCCTTGATTGAAGACATTGTTATGTCTGAAGAGTATTTAAGGTTTCCAATAAAATGTACATCCCTCAGAATTTGTCTTTTCTGGTTCTGACAACATAGCCAACACCAAAGTTTCTGATAATAAGGTTTTTAGAATGGCCAGCCATAAGTTTTTGCACAAATTAGACCATGCATGTTTGAAATGGATCATCAAAAAGAGTAATAGCTATTCTCTTGACAAGTGTGTCTCTTATGAGGGGTCTTTGGGGAGAATGTGATCTTAGTGGGGCCTTAGCTTTGACCCTTCTATGGCATTTGTTCAAGCACATTATTTTTTTAGAAGGGCATATTGTAAAATATGTTGATTTATTTTTTAGAGCTAGCATTCCAAGGAAAGTCAAGAGTATGTGAATTGAGTTTTTAGGAAATAGTGATGACCAATACTTTAAAACTGAGTAAAAATTCCTTACATTTTAGCTAGGCTTTCATTTCTATGGAAAAAGTTCCTAAATCCTTATCAAAGCCTTGAGGCTGTGTGGGAGTGTCTAGGAGGCCCAGCCTGATCTCTGCCAAGATTCCTATTAAAGCTTGGTACAGAGACTTAGCCTGTTATTAAGAATAGCAATTTTAGGGGCTCTGAACTGAATAACAGGATTAGGTCGTTTCCCATTCATTATATAGTCCACACAAAGGTGCAGGGTTGGAAGAAACACTGCCATTTCAGTTTTTAAAAGTGCAAGCAAGGTCAGATTTGTCTCAAGTATTATTTTCCCTGCCCAGACCCATCCTACTGCCCTCTCCTGGTAGCACAGTAGACTGCGAGAACTCTGATCTCACCATTTTGAAATCCGTGAAGGCCATTTGCTGGGATGTGGTTCTCAGCTAATGACTGTTTACAAACCAGCTGGGCTTTTGTCCTGAGGAGGAGCTTGCTTCTATAAGCTCCACCCTCCGAGGCCTCGAGTTGGGTAGAAGCTGGGCGGAGATAAACTGATCTTCTAATTCAGAGGCCCCTAGGGGCTGAAGGTTGGGGAGGGGCCTTGGGAGAGGCGCCAGGGGAGGAGTAGGGGCCTCTAAGCTTCCTCCCATCTGCCTATGACGTCCTTGGTACCAGCGTCTCCTGTGTCACGATCTGGACAGAAGGTGGAGCTCCTGAGCTGCGTGTGCCTGGTAGTTTTGCTCCCAGAAAAGCTTGGATTTAGGGAAATGCTGAGTTATGGGGGTGGGGACGCTCTCTGTAAGTCCTGACTTTCGAGTGGGTAAGAATAAGGTGGAGAAAACCTCAGGGCATGGGGCAATTCTTTCTGCTTTATTTTCCCACTCAGACACTGACCTGGGAACTGAAATTCTGAAAAGTCATTTGCATCCCTCCACCCCTTCCCCCAACACTTTCATGTCCTTCAGCATTTATCTAGAACCTTCTCCTCCTTAGCCGCATTTATTTCCTTCTCCCTCTACCGCCCTCTTCTACCACGCCACTGGAGTGTCAACACAGTTCTAACCTTCCTCCATATTCCTCCTGGTCTGCCCTGTCCTCGCCGCCTCCCTCTCTCCACCCAGAGAAAGCCCCGCCCTTCCCTCCTCCCTCCCCACCCCAGTCTGTCACACAGGGACATCACCCTACAGCAGTTCAGGCTGTGTGGTTCGCAGGAAGCATACATTGGCTTTTTGATTCTTGCTAGTTCCCGGCTCACAGTTTGGGAGGACTTAACAACTGCCTTGACGTGAAGGGGGATCCAAGGACAGTGAGGAGCTGGGTGGTCCCAGCCTGGAGCTCCGCCAGCCAGACATGGGTGAGTATGGGGACCAGCCCCGGGGAAGGCCTGAGGGATGCCTAGTTCTCTCCCTGGCTGACTCAGCAGGGGTGGGGCCTAACCTTTGCTCATCCGGGGGTAAAGGAGGGGAAACAGTACCGGGGTGGTGGGAAGACAGCGCTCAGCCTGTGAGGCTGCAGACCCTGGGACCCTGAGCACCGGCAAGCTCCAGCTCCAAGGAGAGCTGAGACTATACCTTAGGCCAAGACTCCCTCCCTCCCCCACCGTGGAGTTTTAACCCTCGTCCTCCCACTTAAGCTGGTGAGATTCAAGCATTAGTATTCACCAGTACTGACTGCTAGCCCTACACAAGGAAAGCCCACTTTTGGCCGCGTTGGAGGGTCTTTAAGACGCCTTCCTTCGCCCTAATTTCTCTCTGGCCTTTTAAGTCTGTCTTTTCTCCTCCCCCACCCTGACCTACCACCAGGTGGGGGCTACACTGAGCAGCTGCTTCCTGTTGCCCCAGAGGTTGCTGCAAGGGTGGTGGTAGTTGGGGGAGAACTGAAGTAGAATACAGCCGATCTCCACGGTCCCACGTCAGCCTCAGGC